GATGTCGTATTGTGACACGCAAAACTGGGGGCCGCTGTCAGACGTAGCCCTGTTCCCGAATCTGTGCACACGAGCGGGCACCGGGCACGGGCCAATCTAGACCGGGGGGGAGCCTCGACCGAGCCCAGCAGGGCCGACTCAAGTTGTGCTGCCGGTCCCCTTGCTTCAGGGGAAGATTTCATCATGGGATTGCCCTGTTTCTCTCAGCCTCCATGGGAACTAGTAAATAGATATTACAGGGCAAGGGTGTGGTGTGACTTTAATTAGGAAGGAAACCTGCCATGGGATGAGAAGGGGTGAGCATGCCAGGAGCTGAAAATTCAGGGTGAGCGCCTGGGTTTAGTGAAGGGCTGTGGGAAGTGTTTCTATTTAAGCAAGACATAGAAACAGAGAAGCAGAGCGAGTCAGAAGGGGTCTCCCAGGCCATCTAGTCTGACCCCCGACTCCAGCCACTCCGCTCACAACACGCCCACCATGTGCACGTCCAGCCTGTCCTTGGACTCACAAGGACTTGAGCCTTAGAAACAGGCAAATGACCTTCACTGGGGGCTCCGTTTGGTTTCCTTGTTCTTGTTTAGCACTCTGCAAGTTAGGGATGGACGAACTGGTGAATTTGGAGGAGCAGGAGAGGGGCTGCCATCGCACTTAGATCGTGCTTGTGCGTTTCCGCAGGCCGCTGGTCCACCCTGGTGGAAAGAGAACGCCGGCTCAGATGGGTCGTTGATCAGATCTGGCTTCTGTTCGTACGTGGAACCCGCCACGTCCAGTCTGCTGACCGCTGAGTGCAGTTCTTCAGGGGACGGCAGATATTCCCCAAGTTCCTGAAGGCAACTCGTTGGAGAGGAACCAGAAGGTGGAAGATGACATGATTCGAGCAAGGCCTCCTTACCTCACGTTCTTATGCAACTAGGGCAGGATACCTGGATTTCTTCCCACTTCGAAGAAACAAGCGTGATCTAATGCTCCAACAGGTCGGCAGAAACCCGGAGCAGCGACCTCGGAATTGCTGGCACAGAGATGCCGACTTCCTCCGGGGACGTAGCAAGCCCCTTTCCTAGCCTCTTCAAACAGATTCCGCCTTTCTTCTTCTTCATCGAGTCTCATCTCTGAGCGGAAGGCGCCGACTTATTCCAGGAATGTTTAGAGAAGAGCTTTGCTAATTCACGAGGATAAAATGAGGATGAATCAGACGGAGCTGTTCATTTGCACCTTCCAAGGAGTTTGTCAAGGGGGCCCCTCCTTGCTGCTGTTAAAGTTCTCCCCACTTCATCTTTTGGATATCAGGGTGACCTCATTCCTAGGGTTTGGAGAGACTGTGGGGCCGGGGGCAGGGTGAGAAGTTAAGGTGACATACAGTGACAGATGCTTTCCCCCTGCCCAAAAAATCCACCTGCCTCTATTATTCTGACCACACAGTACCAACCTCCTCACTGCGAATTCCTCCCGTCTACCAAGCAGGAAAAAAAATAGCGGCCCCTGCTTTCGAAGCCCTTGAGAGCAATCCTGTTTCTCCAGGACGAGGGTGGGGGCAGGACTGAGTTTCTCCTTGGTTTTCACAGGAATGAGTCAAAACTGGCAGAGAGATCCGTGCACAGGACAAAAAGAAGAGGAGGTTTTTGAGAATCTGAGTGTGGGAGAAACCAAAACTGGCAGATTAGACTGTTGAAAGCCGTGGGCTTGGAGAGCTCATTCTTAACAAGTCTGCATTTGAATCCCAGCCTAACCAAGTTAGCGCTGAAGTAACATTGCCAATTAACCCGTTGCTGTGCACCATGGATGCTTCCGTACTGGAAATCGCCAGAGCTCTTGGATTTGGCTGTGCAAGTAGCCAGTCTGTTTCTGATAGGAATTCGCCAAACTTTGGAAGCTTGAGATTTAAAAAGTCAGGTGCAGGAGAAAGCAAAATGGAGATAAGTCTGGGATATTTTGCCAGTCGAGGCAAAGAACAAGATGGCGGGCCCCTCCAGTCCATGCACAAGAGAGGACTTACCCGGCACAACTGGGGCTTTTACCTTCGGTGCTGCCCTTGTAATGGCGTCCTCGGCTGCCCCAGAAGGGCCCAGGGGGTCGCTTGAGCGGTGCAGAGCCGGCTGTGATGCACAGCTCTGCCCTCCAATTACGGCTGAGGATCAGCCATCTGAGAGAGGCGGCCTCGTCACTTGGCCGAACGATAGGGCCAGCTCTGCTTCTCTCTTGGCCCTCATACCTTTTCCTACAGTATCACCCTCTCCGGATATTTAGGGCTCCAACTCCCATGACAGAAACCTAGAAACAGAGCGAGTCAGAAGGGGTCTCCCGGGCCATCTAGTCTGACCCCCGGCTCCAGCCGGCTCCGCTCACGACATGCCCACCATGTGCATGTCCAGCCTATCTTTGAGCACCCGCACCGATGGGGCCTCAACCTCCTCCCGGGGAAGCCCATTCCATACTGAGGGGTCCTAACTGTCAGGAGGTACTTCCTGGCAGCCACCCTAAATCTTGGCTCCCTGAGCTTTGCTCCGTTGGAGCACGTCCTGCCTCCACGGCAGGGGAGAACAGGTCTCTCCCCACCTCCGTGTGACACCCCCTCACGTACCTGCATGTCGCTAGCAGGTTCCCTCTGAGCCTCCTCCCCTCCAGCCTGAAAAGACCCAGCTCCCCCAGTTGCTCCTCATATGGCTTCCCCTGCAAACCAGCCACCATCCTTAGCGGCCTTTCGCTGCACTGATTCCAACTCTGTCCATGCTGGCTGGGGCTGATGGGAATTGCAGGCAGCCTACTCTGGATTATATAATTATGCTGATCCAAATTTTTCCCTTTCCTGCTTCCAGATCACTGGCCAGAGGGCAGTGGGTGGGGATAATTTTTTACATGGGGATCTGGGAAACTAATGGGGTGAAGGGATGGCTTTCCCCACTCTTCCTGGTGACTGCCATTTTTTCCCCAGAATTCCCCTGGGAGGGACATTATTTCATTATGTAGCATTGCTCCCAAGGAGTTCTATTTGGGAATTACACTTCCGAACAAGCAGCTTTCAGGATAAGATCTCATTTTTGCACCCTCACCTGCCAAATTCAGTCACATCCCATTGGAGAATTTTTTAAATTCAGTCCTTACACAATACACAGCTTCTGAATTAAGAAAAAACATTCTTTTTTACAACTTTTGTGAGGGACAAAGAGATCCTGCTCTCCTTTCCAAAATGTTTTCTTTCTGCATTTCTGTTTGCTTTTACTGGTCCATTACGGACCACTTCAAAAATCCACATTTCCATCTCCGACAGACCTACGTCATCTGTTGTCTTCCTTGAATTATGAGCAGGTGTAAGAGAGAAGATGCACATTCCAGCCTTATGAAAAGGAAATGCTTTTGGAATGGGACAACATGGCAATTAAACTGTGGAACTGCCTGCCACAGGATATAGGCTGGAGCCACGTCTTGGGAAACCCTCAGATGGACCAGTACTGGATTGATGGCGCAGCCATCACAACAGGAATTTAAAAAAATAGTGCATGCCATGAATATTTCTAGCGATGGCATTCTGAGGCTCAGACCAATTGCTATTTATCCTTCCCTGCCTGTATTCAGCATGCAAATTGTTTTTATGACTCTTTATCTGCCCTGAAATCTTCTGAGACAAGGTTGGCTGAGAGCTGGAAACTGTCCACCCACACAGTTCATAAGTAATGTGGCTCTCCCACACCTAAGAATGCAGCCAGCTAACCACTGATACATACTGCCCTGCAGCTTATCTTCACATGCTTCAAGGCGAGATCTCTAAAGAAGGAAGCGTTCGGTACAGTCATCTTCTCTGGGCCTATGACATATTGATTACGAATTCAAAAATATTCTCCTCCCATGTGCAAGTTTTGGGAATGGGCTAATTTTGGAGAGGGTTTGTGCAACTTAGCAAAAAATCACGGCACCATTTATTTTCTGGGCTGCCACCATTTTTTTCCCAGAAGTCTTTGGAATGATGCTTGTAGTTCAGGGCATGCTGAGAAAGGAATTGCTTTCCCAACTGGTGGCCACTGAAGAAGAAGAAGGGCTGAGGGAAAGAGGGAGGCACTGCGGTCCACAGTAAACCCATCCCCATGAAGTCTTCCATTTTGTCCCCGCAAAAAATTGCCTTTGGATATTAATTTATCTTTATATTGTTTATTTATTTTATGTTGTTAATTTTAATTTTATATTGTTATTTCTGTATTTTATTGTATTTTGTTGTGTTGTAAGCCGCCCCGAGGCTTCGGCAAGGGGCGGCATAGAAATGTTTTAATAAATAAATAAAATAAATAAATTTATTCAAAACTTTCCTATACCCTCCGATACTTAGACCTCTCGGGGTGGTTTACAACAAATTAATCCTAAAAATAGAAATCAGAATCACAGTTGCCCCGCAGCCAGTGTTAAAATACAAACCCGCTAACTAAAACAAGTTAATAATTAAAATACTGGGAGAATAAAAAGGGTTTCACCTGACGCCGAAAGGAAAGAAGCGTCGGCATCAAGCGGGCCTCTCTGGGGAGCGTGTTCCACAGTCAGGGTAGCAACACTCCAGCGAATTTGCCTGTCCAAACAGTACACTAGAGCCTTTGTCTTGGCATGCTAGCTTTCTGCAGTCAGGGAGAGCGTGACATCAGAGACTTTTCAGACACATGACCCCCGCGTGCGCGCACACACACACACACACACTGCCCTGCCAGCATTTTGAAATTTTGCCATCATCCGGGGAGAGCTAGATACGTAACCCCCACTTCTTCCCCAAAGGTTGTGGCTCAAATGAAGCTTTGAAGCTAAAGTTGGGCACTTTTCAACCTGCCCACCTGAAAGGGCATTGGGCAAATAACAGAACGCCTCCATTACCAATATGAATACACATGCGGGGGGGGGGCGGACCTTGGTTGTCCAAATGGACAGCATTTCAGCAACGGCAAAGGAGCTGAATATCAGATATACTTACCCTAACACCAGAGAATCCACCAGTAGACCTCAAGCAAGAGACAGAAATAAATAGGGCCTACCTTTCTTTTCTTCTCACTCCAATACATCAAGACGCAGTGTGGCAGACTGGCTTGAGTGCTGGATTGGGACTCAGGAGATCCGGGTTCAAATCCCCACACGGCCATGAAGAACCTGCATTCTCTGGCCAGACGCTCACTCTCAGTCTAGCCTTCCTCACAGGGTTGTTGTGAAGATAAGATGGAGGAGAGAGGACCATGTGAGCTGCCTTGGATTCCTTGCAAGAGAAAGAAAGGCAGGTTATACTTGTAAAATAGCACTGATATCACCTTGGTGAATTATAGCAGCTTTTTTTGGGGGGGGGGGGGCTTAACACTTTCTGCATGCAACATTAAAAAATAATTTTCTGATGTGTTCATAGAAACAGCATCTCTTCCAGCAAAGGTAAGCCTGATTAGGCTATTAGGGCTGAGAGCTGAGTAACGAGGAAAATATGCCACCAGACACACCTTGCTTTGCCTCCACAATACAACCCACAATGGCCGGGACACCAGTCCCATCCCTGTCAGCCTGGCAGGAGCAAAGACAAGATATTCTGACATGTGCAACCCGCTCGGTTCACAAAAAGTTACTTAAGGCTGCATCACTTCGCTGACAAATCAGTTAAGCTCGGAGCAGAGAGAAAGGGGTGTTACCCATCTGAGGTGTGCTGACCCGGATTAAGACCCGAGGTTTCCCACACTGTGCTTAGACTCACCAATTGGAACTAGTTAAGATTTGGACTAGTTAAGAAGAGTAAGAACCAGTTTAAGGACTAGTTTATGACTAGTTTAAGGCCTGGATGAAGGACTAGCGAAGAAGACTGAAAATTGATTTGGGACTAGCTAAGATGCCCCGATGAATTGGACAATGAAGTTTGTTTCTGTTCCGTTCCATTCCATTCCTTTCCTTTCAAAGCTAATTTTAAATGCGACCACTTTTTTAAAGCCCAGCTTGCATCTAGTTTTACGGATTCATTGTTTCATTCCAGATATTTAAAAGCAAGCCCTAATGAGGAACCTTTAAGAAAAAAACTGCTTTGAAACACAGGGGTTGTTTAAACTTTCCAAGAAAAAAAAAAAAAACACTGTGAAGAAATACATTTCCAGTTCGAAAGGCCTGTACTCAAGGGGCCGAGTGTAACTTAATCTGAAGGGAGTTCCAGAATGGAGGGGCTACCGCTGAGGAGGCCCCGTCTCTCATGCTCGCAGGCCTAGTAATGGTGGCCTTTAAGGTTATCTTTTGCATCAAGGGGACTTTCTGAACAGTCTTCAAAAGCCACCCCTTGCAAAGGGCACTGCAGTAGCCCAGCGAGGTGGCCAACTAGAATAGGGAGGCCAGCCAGAACGCGGCTGCCCTGAGCGGAGAGAAGGTCCCGTATCTCAAAGGGAAACGCTGATGGCTGCAAAAGAGGCAGGCCACTCCTGAAAACCACAGAGAAAGCTCTTCACACACACCCTCTGTCGGAACAAGCTCTGCTTTGCTCTACACTTAGCAGCAAATGCCCCCCTTTTTTAAAATAAAACAGCTTCTTTTACAACATGTCCTTCCATCAGCTTAAAAACAAAGACAAGGTTTTTTTAAATCAGAGTGACAACAAGATTTATATGGAGATTTAGGGCTAATCATTGAACTGAGTCATCAGTTAAGACTCCTGTTATGAACAGATCAAGATTTCTTTAATTGGCCCTAAGAATTTTGTATCGAGACTGTTAAGATGGTGTTAGTTTATGCTGCAGTTCTAACTGCTTGTGGGCGAATTCATTTCCCCCCCGCAATTCAAATCACTTTTGTGTTTTCACCAGTAAATCGATTCCGTCCTTTTCCCACATTTATTTAAAACCTGCCCCTTTTGAGCGGTTTAAAAAAATCCATAGGAATATATGCTTTTAAATCAAGCAATTTTCTCTAAAGTAAAATATGTCAGTACAGTCAAGAAAGAGAAAAACACGACCGATAACTACATTCAGAGAAGTACAAGGCAGCTCAGTTTCGTTCAGAATTTGCAGTGTCCGAATCTGCCAAGCATCGCTAGTGAGTTTTGTCAAGATTAAATAAAATTCCGGACCAAACTTGAGCCTTTGAAGATAGCCTGGAAACCACTCTAAAATGAGGCAGGCAGAGGTGCATGCGTTAACAAAACCAAACCAAAAACTATTCTAGAAATACAAGACACGAAAACAAGCAAACAGCCATGTAACATGCAGAGAGGTGTGGGGTGACAAAAGGTATATTTGTGTGGAAGTCCAACACATCCCACCTTTGGGCTGTATCTAATCACAATCTTTGTTTCGTATTTCTGCATGGAAATTCATGCATCTTTTTGTGTACATGTTCTCAAATACGCATTTCAGTGGTTTGTATATTTAAAATAGATACATTCTTCTCCCATTGATTCAAGGGTGTTTGTGTATAAATCACACTACAGTCTCAAATAAGCATTCCTTCCAACAGCAGATTGTGTTTGGTTCAGGGGATGAAAACAGGGGAGATCTGAATCCACACCAAACTGAAACAAAACTTTCTTGCCTCTCTACTCATGCCTGATTATTCCTCCAAACAATCAATCAATCAATCAATCAAATTCTGTTAATTGTCCATCAACAACCACATCACAGATTTTCAGAAACCACCCATTCACAAAATGCCCTATTTTCATTCTTGAGCTGAAGAATCCAAGATTAAGCTTCCTCAGTCAATTAGCTGTTCGCTTCTGGGATCAATCCAAAAGGCTGGGATTCACCTTTTATGCTCCAAAGAGTCTAGAAATACATCCCAATTTGATTTCTTCTTTTTGAACCTACCTGTGTAGGGATGGGAATATTTAGGAATTGGAGAGCAAGCCTTAGCCCTCAAAATATTCCTTTCTTTAATTTTTGTAACACACACTAAAATGCAAATGTTAGGGGAAATAGCTTACAAGCCTGTGTTATACTAGGAAAATCTGCCACCAAATTTGTGTGCATCAGGCTAAACTGTCAATAAAACATGTCTTTGGAGCAATGGACACAAAACAGTCTTCTAAATTTTTGTGCAAACTTTAAAAAATAGTTCTCAAAGTTTGGGGACAAACCAAACAGGATTGGAAACATGCAATATGGCAAGGCCACAAGATGGAGAGAATAGGGAAAAATAACCATCAGGACTAGCAGACACTGAGAAGTTTCTTCTTCATTAATTTGTTGAATCCCCTTTTAAATTGTGGCCATCCCCACATCTTTGGCTAACGAACTCCACGATTTAAGTATGTGTGGTGTGAAGCAGCTCTTCCTTGGATCTGTTCTGAATGTCCCCCAATCGGTTTCCTGGGATGGCCCCTCTGGGTTCAAGAATATGGAAGAGGGCGAAAACTCCATTTTGCTCTTCCCTCACACCAGCCATCCGTATATGCACAGTGAACATGCTTCCCTTTCGCCGCCTCTCCAAATCAGCCATCCTCCAAACCTATGGCTCCCATCAGCAAGGCCACTCGTGACGGATGATGGGAGCTGCTGTCCCAGACACTTGATGGAAGCTACACAGGGGAAGACGGATCAAAGTCCAGCGACCGGAAAGCCAAGCAGATGCCTTCAAGACACCCACCCTCGCAGCCTGGGGAGTCCGACACTGAACCCTCATTCTAACGCAAACCATTTGCTCAGTCTGGGATTGCTTAGAGGCAGGATGTTTGCCTAGAGACACGGAATCTGTCCCAGCTGCTCCGTGCTGTGCCATACCATGGACTTTACACACCAGAGCAGAGTGTGGGTCACTGTGTATCACCAGCAGGAAGAACGAGCTGGTCAGGAGACAGGATTCCTCCGTTTTGCAACCCAGTGCAACAGGTGAGTTGAGGAACGCCCCAAAGATTGGCAGGCTCCTTCCAAAACAGGTGGGGGGACGTTCCTCTTTAAAACGAAGGCCAGGCCGGCCTCGTGACACAGACGCTGGGTAGACGTAAGAAGTAGGAGGTGTCGTATCTCATATTGCTAAGTCTTGTACAGACAGGAGACGCTGGAAAGCGAGACGGACGGACGGACGGGTGCAGAGGCCTTTGGCAGGAAGAACAAATAGACAGAGAGCGACCCCCGCACCAGTCATGCAAGGTGAGTGGGAACGGAGCGTGCAGCTAGCCAAGGACACGCACTTTTGTCTACGGAAGGGGTGGGAAGAGGCAAGCCTGAAGGGGGCATAGTGCAGGGGTCGTTTCGGATTGAAGGCACAAAGCTCGGAATTTGGCTGGGAACATGCCAAGGGGTACGACGTGCCCCTACAAGTCCTGGCGATAAATACTCCATTAGTTAAGCTTCCTGACAACAAAACACATTTGGGACAAAAGGCGAGGGTGCGGGAGGAGAGGGAGAATTCAGAAGTAGGCAGTGAAGGGCCTTTGGAAGGGAAGGCGGTGGGTTTTGCAGACCACCCGGTCTTTCCTCTGCCGAATATTTGTTGGTCTAGTTAATATCCCCCCTCACGTTCCAATGGGCCACTAATGCATGTTCAATTCACACAAAGAAGGCTCTGGCTCTCTTCCAAGCGACGGGCTTGCTGAATCGGTAGGCTCTGATCCCCACTACCGAAACACTCGCTTCAGAACACCACTTCTTGGATCAGAGAGTTCAGTGGGGCTTTCTACTGAATAGAGACTTTGTGGGCAAGGGAAAGCCTTCTTTTAAATGCAGATTTCTCATGTTCTGCGCATCTGATGAGGATGGAAAACACCCATTCTTTTCTGAAATCTGCATTTATCCGAATTTTGTAGCAGAGTTCACCTGATCAGAATCTGGAGACAGAAATGTGCCTGTAACCAGAAATAATGTTTTAAAGGCATTCTAATAGGGGAATGGTTTGCAAACATTGGTGTGTGTGAAGCAGCAGAAACTCTTCATATGGCCAGGTCCTTATTCCTGGTAGGGTGGTATAGTCAGCACTGAGCTGAATTGGCTCTCCGTATTCCAGGAAGGAATATTTCCTAGTTCTGCTTCAAGAAACCAGACCTGGCACCTGGAACCTTCTGAACTAGAAGCACAGTCATAACCACCAAGTTACGTCCTTTCTCCCAATTCTCATCTTCATAGAAATACGCACAAAAAATGCTTACGGATTCTTACACAGACTCTTAAAGGATCTGAAAGGTTGGGATGAGCTACATAAAACCTCTGAGACATTTCCAGCGTCCAAGAAAACCTGCGCTTAAAATGGGAAAATTAAGATACCGAGCTTAACTGAAATTTAGCAATTCCAGTACTACAACATGGTCGGAAGCCAATTAAGTGGGTTTAGGATCTCAAGGCAAAGAAAAAGATGTGTTTCTCCAAATTGTCCTCTTTTTTTCCTTGAGATGCTGAGGGAAGCTTTGCTTTAGTCCTGAGCTCACGACATAATGTAAAGATCTTGTGAGGTTCAAAGTAAATACTTTGTCTCTTATGTTGCCAGAGATTTGGGGATGAACTGCTTGCAGGAACCTCGTCAGATTAGATTGTCCAGAGAGTAAGGACATGCTGTGACAACAGTTTGTATTCTTTTGGCGTTTCCGAGCAGAATGATTGAAATGGGTTGTGCAAGTAATTTGGCTTAAGGTCAGAAAGCCACTAACTTAAAAACGTTTATTTATGTATTCATTATAGTTGTACCCCACCTTTTTCCTTCTGGCATGGATCCCAAAGCAGTTCTGGTGATCCTCCTCCTCCATTTTATCCTCAAAACAACCCTTTGAAGTAGTTTAGCTTGAGAATCCCTGATTGTCCCAAAGTCACCCAAATAACTTTGTAAAATAATTAAAAGCAAAGTTGGCTGGTCTTCAAAATTCACAATCCCCTGAATGTTTCTGTGGAGCTCGTCTCCAAAATGGGTGAGTTTGGAGAAAGTATATACAAAAAAAATGTTCAAAACACTGGGCATCATATGAAGAAAAGCACTCATGTAGAATTTGTCTATTAGGCAAAAGTGCAGAGAAAAATCTAGCTTTTAGGAGAAATTAACAAAAATGTGTATGAACTGTTAAATAAACCTAAAAAATAAATTTCAATGTTTGGGACAAACTAGAAAAATGAGAAGCAAACCAAACCAAAACTGACAGATTTATCCATCCCTAAGTGTTTGCAAGATCCAATGTAAAGACAACAGGAGCCAAGATATAAGAAATTTTGCTCAAGACTCTAGTTTTGTTATTTCCCAAGGAAATAACAAAGGATGACATTGGATTTTTCATTAGAATGGTTAACTCTTGGTCAACTATTTTGACTGGAGTAGAGGTTTGTGTATAATGTTCCTTTGCACTCAAAAAGATTCTGACTTTTGGAAGGTATATAAAAATTCATTCCAGCTCAAGTGATCAACTAACTCAGATGGAAACAGAGGCAGGATCCATACATGTACAGAAGCAAGGCACTCTCATTTTGGCTCCGCGTCGTCCACATGCCGTCCCCAGAAATGTTGTGCTTGGTCCTTATATTGCTGGGTTAGGGGACTATCTGGTTAGCTCATGCTTTCTGTTCAAATCCTGTCTGGAAGTGACTGATAACCCTGAAACTTTTCCCCAAATTTCGCCATATCCTGCTGGTGTTGTGACAGCTCATTACAGCACGCTTTCAAAATGCCTGCCCTCTTGCTCAGAGACTCAGACTCATCTCATCAACGCTCTGTGATTTCTTTTCATGATCATTTATGTTTCAGAAAGTGGCTTTAAGGGTTGAGAACAGAAGAGTGTAGAATAAGTATTTTAAATACATTTAACATTTAAAAAGGCGATGAGCTGCGAATCTCTCAATAGATCATAGCCACAGAATGTATATACTTGACTGTGTGGCTTAGGAGAAAATTGAATGAGGAGCAGGGCCGTCACAGACATCCAAAGCAGAATGAAATAGGTTTGATTTTCTGCTAAGCAAGTTCATTGTTTTTGAACCAGAACTACTTCCATGGGCAAATTCTGTGAACAGAACCAAAAGTTAGCTGAAATATATTATGCACGTCTGAAAAGTTACGATAATGTATATACAATGCTTAAGGCACTTTGTTCTTTCCCATGGATTTATTTCCATAATTTTCAGAGCAGGAAACAAAAATCAGATTTCATATGTTTGCAAAGCCTGGAACAGACAACTCCATCCCATTCACACAATTAAATTGAATCCAAACATCCCCAGTAACGGGGATGATGGGAAACATGATAGAAGCACAAATTAGGCGTGGCATGGAAGAAACAGGGAAAAGAGGGGGTTTTTCCCGCCCTTGTAATACCAGAACCCAGAGGAGTCATCCCATCAAGTTGATTGATGGGAAATTCAGGGGAGAACAAAGGAATCTCATCTTCATGCAGTTCATTTATGGGATTCACTTGGATGAGCTGGAGTGGCGGCCATCTTGGATGGCTTTAAGGGGAATTACACCAACAGCTCCTAGTCAGAATGGTGATGTCATACTTCCAGTATCAGAGGCAATATGCAGCGACGTGCCAATTGCTGGGGAACATGGGCACTCATGTCGTATGTGTGGATGTCCCGCAAGCCATGGCTGGCCACGGTGGGAACGGAAAGACCTGGGCACACCTGAGGTTGATCCGGGCTGCTCCTCCGAAGTTCTCCACAAGCCCCAGCATGTTCAGTCTTGGGTGCCAGGAAAGTAAGAAAGTAGAATCTGCCTTGTGCAGAAAAGGGAACAAAACGTTTTCGTTTCATCCCGCGTGTACGCCCCAAAAGGGAAAGATAGGCTTGGGACTCGGCCGTTACATTCCCAATGTGGTAGAACTGGGGATGGCTAAATTACAAGCAGCAATTGGAACATTCCTCCCAAGGCACCAAGAAATCAAGCTCAGCCTGTGCCAGCCACCTGGCTGGAAACTGAAATCTGCTGGCAAGATCTGGAGAAGGAAGAGAAATTCAGCTGTAGAGCCAGTCAGCCTTGGGACGTGCTTAGCATGCCATGAGTTGGAACAGATGTTTGGACTACAACTCCTATCATTCTTTTCAGCCATATGGGCGGGGGAGCCAAGGTGGGGAACACCTTCATCCTTCTGTATGTCTGGTGCCCTATAAGGTACAACCCCAAAGAGTATGCAAGTCCCCAGTCCGAGACTCCTTCCAAGCTACACACCACAAGCGAAAAGAGTGTCAGGAGGAGGTCCGGTCCATAAACTAAACGATGTTGCTGCAGGAGACAGGACTTCCCACTGATGCCCCTTGCTTGAACCCCATTCCATTTCATGGGGCAATCCTTTAATCCTAGCAAAGCAGCATGCTCCAACTGAGGCCCAGTTTAGGCCTTCAACTCCCACCAAGATGAGCCCACATGGCCAATGATCGGGAATTCTCGGAGTCGTTCCCTAAAATACCCGGATAGGAACTGGCTTGAGAACGCGGGGCAACCACCTAAATTTGAATACTGGCGCTGAAGGGAAACCAAATCCCATCCAGAAGAGATCCGGAACTTCATCCCTCTGCAAACGACTGCCTCTCTAAGGGCAAAATAGCTGCGAGATTAACCACATCCCATGTGCATGCCAGAGGGAGGGACCTACAGGTGTGATGGAGCGAGTCGCGTCTTGTTTGATCTGATCCGCTCGGCAGAGACGCCTCACACCCCTCTGGTTGCTTAACTTCTCTCCAGCCATCCACTGCAGGAAGAAACAGCCCGATCTCTCTGCTCCATTGAGAGAAAACCACAGGTTCTAATCCTGCCTCAAAGAGGCAGCCCTCTCCAGATTTCAGTGAGGTTTAGTCCCAGCGAAGGAAGAGTAATCATTGCAGCTTTCATTCGGAGATTTATGAGAGCTATCCTGGGTGCTGAACCATTTTTGGGGATTGAATTCCACACCAAAGATTTGGTCTTTTGGGGCTCCTTAGATACACACATCCCTTTTCCCTGACCCCATCCTCAATTGTTTGGCGTTTCTGGCTTTTGTGTCCCCCCCCCCCCCCGGCATTCTAAAAAGCCTCTCTTAAGGGGTAGTTAGCTAAAATTTGCTGGCATGGGGGCCACATTTTGCTTTTGACCACACTTACCAATGGAAAGTGGCCCTTGAGAATTTCTGCAAAATAGAATTTGGCCCTCAGACAGAAAGAAGTCCGACACTCCAGATTTAAATCATGTTAGGTACAAATATTTGCAATATTTCTGGAATGCAAGGGTTGACTTTGAAGATGCCGTTCCCTCCTAGGTGGAACTAGAAAGGGAAGGCCTCTTTCAATGAATACATCTTTAAAGGGTTTTCAGAAAATGAATGCATCCATGCCACAGTTGCAATCAGATCAAACACAGTTGCATAGAAATGTAATAATAATAATAATAATAATAATAATAATAATAATAATAATAATAATAACAACAACAACTAAAATCCAATAAGAACAGGGGAGCCAGTGTTGAAACAGAAAGAAATTGCCATGCAATGCTCAAAGAACTTAATCATACAGAGAGCAAAAATAATGTCAAAGGGGTTACTTACAAAATCCATCCGATACCAAATGTCAAAGCAGGGGAGACAAAAGAAGGGGCGCCTCTTTGGAGAATGCGTCCTGCATCACCACATCTAAAAAAGCAAAGAAAATAAAAACTGTATTGCTTGGAGCAAAAATGGTGTGCCATGTACATCAAATGTATGGGATGTCAAGCCAGGCAATGACATTCCAGAAAATATGTGGGAGTAAATGAGTGGCCATTTGCCTTCCTTTCAAGACAGCCGATTTCTACTCCCTGAGGTCTAACATCTGGCCACCCGCGTCTGACTTTAGGCTGGGTCAGTCCTCTGTTACCCATTCGGAATGGCTGCAGATATTTATTTGTTTATTTATTTTTCAATTTATATCCTGCCTTTCTCCTACAAAGGGCTCAAGGCAGCTTACATCCTCCTCCTCCTCCATCTTATCCCCACAACAACAACCCTGTGAGGTAGGTGGGGCTGAGAGTGTGGGACTGGCCCAAAGTCACCCAGTGGGCTTCATGGCTGAGCGGGGACTAGAACCCAGATCTCCTGAGTCCCAGTCCCTGAACCACAACACCACACTGGCTCTTATGCTCCTAAATCGAGTAAGGACATAATCCTATGCATGTTTAGACAGAAAAGAGGGAAGAAACTGAGCAGCCAGAACTGTGTCCAAGGCAAAATTTGAACACAAGGTTCCAAATCCACTTTTGGCCACTTCACTGTCGCTTTGCTAAAAATACAGGGAAATTAAGATAGCTCAGCTTTAAGGCTGGCCAAACGTGGAGCCAACCTAATGAAAAGAACAAGCTTCGTGTGATTTCCACTGCTTGATTTCTCTTGTGGGTACTTCACAAGATACTCAGATGCATGGATCTCATTTTGAGAGATCGGATTTCCTGCTCTTGGAAGAGGACTGAGCCTCCAACCCATATTCTTTCATGCTGGGCATGTCATTACCGCCCACGCATCCCGCTCTGTCACCCTTCATCCACAACAGAGCGGCTGCGGTGTATCTTGGAGTCCTGCACACACACACTGGGGGCATCCAATGGCAGCCAATGCCTGAAGCGAGGGTGGGAATTCGTGGGTCAAGAAAGGATGACTAGAAAGTCTCCAAGATGGCATCCGCAGGGACTGGAGTACTTTTTTAAGCCTGATCCAACAAGAAAGATTGGGGCCCCGAAGCAGGACGTTGGCACACAAGGAACACGGAATAAGGACCTCTGTCATTCCCACAAAATTTGTTATTTTGAGTCTTCAACTCCTGAAGTCTTTGGCTTCTTTCTTCCTAAATACTTTTTTCTTTCTATTGTACTTTCGGAAAATAAATGAAAATATTTGGAAAAACAAATACGGAGTCTTTACAGGGCTGACTTCAGTGTCCTAGGATTACAGATGGAGGAATTGGTCGGTTTTGGTTTCACCCCATTTCCCATTTCTCCAATCTTATATTCGAGAAACAGAACACTTTAAAGAAAAAGGTTTCCGTGAAAACGTGCGCGCCATTAGGGGAAATGTGTGTTAATGCATCCCATTTGTGTTTGAAAGTTTGCCTAGTGTGCATGAGTTTGGCATGCAATGCCACTAAAATAATGTATCTTGAAATATTTTGGCTTTCCTGTTGTCAGAACCACTGTAGGAACCAAACCCTGGACAGATTTAGTCTAAGCAATCTTCTAGCATGAGGTTTCTTTCTGAAATTCTATGTCTGCTTTGGGTCAGAAGCATCGATTGGAAGCATTTAATTAGGAAATGAAAACTCCACATTATTTAAATGGTGATAACCTGGGATGGGAGATTATATTTTACTTTGGAAAATTAGCACTGTAGCGTCATAGCACTAGAAATGCTTTATTTAAGCCACATTTTGCTAAGACTTTGCAATGTTGTCCTGTGCTTTCTTAGTGCTGAGCATTTCAGCACTAAGACCGGATATAAGAGGGTTGTAATGCTGTGCCGGCCACAAAGGGGTCTCATAGGTTCATCTGCCTCATGCATCAGTGCGGTATCAACGCTACAAGTGGGGTAAGAAGCATTAGGACTGTAGCATGATAGAAGAGGACCATGTAACTCATGGTGACTCCACATTCAACAGCTCATTTGGAAGGGCAACGCAGGCCTGTGCAGTATTCTGGAGACGGACACCTCCGTTCTGGCTCGAGCTTTTCTGGACCCTCCCCAGTTCATTAGATGCTGAAAGCAGCCGTGGGGTCCTTCTAGGTATTGGTGGTGGCGGCACCTGGGCTTATAGGAACCTAGTGCTGGGACTTCATGAGGGCCAGGATGCTGACATCGGCCATGCGCTCCGATTTCCCTGCTCCTGCCTCACAGTATGTAAAAAGAAAGTCAATTTACATACTGCCTCACAGTATGTAAAAAGAAAGTCAATTTACATACTGCCTCACAGTATGTAAAAAGAAAGTCAATTTTTCCAGTTCTGGGCCCCTCATTACAGGAAGGATATAGCCAGGTTGGAGTCAGTGCAGCATAGGGCCACAAGGTTGGTGGCCGGTTTGCAGGGGATGCCGTATGAGGCGAGACTGAGGGAACCGGGTCTCTTCAGCCTGGAGAAGAGGAGACTCCGAGGGGATCTCTTGGCGACATACAGGCATGTGAGGGGGTGTCACACGGAGGTGGGGAGAGACCTGTCCTCCCCTGCAGAGGAAGGCAGGACACCCTCCAATGGAGCAAAGCTCAGGGAGCCAAGGTTGTATTTGGATGCCAGGAAGCACTTCCTGACAGTCAGGACCCCGAGGGTGTGGACTGGGCTTCCACAGGAGGTGGTTGAGGCCCCACCGGTGAGGGTGTTCAAGGATAGGCTGGACGTCCACATGGTGGGCATGTCGTGAGCGGAGCCAAGCTGGAGCCGGGGGTCAGACTAGATGGCCTGGGAGACCCCTTCTGACTCACTCCGTTTCTATGTTTTCCCTACCATAATGCACCAAGAGGGCCACCTAGGGATGCCATTGGTGGAATAGGCGGCATGTAAATATAGTTTTTAAAATAAATATGTGGAGGTGGCCTGCTCCCCAATGGGCAATTATGACCCACTGGAATTACAAGATATGCTCCCGAAGCCAACAAGCTGCCCAAACTGGTTCTTGTGGCTACGGATTGACACAGTGGCCTGAATTCTTGGATTCTCCTTGGAGGGCATGGATCCCATGGGTGCTCGTCATGGATGCAGAGAGACCTGCTGTGCAGTTTGGAGGCGCATGACACACAGATAGGATCGTGGCCGCAATGCTGCATGTTTGGAATCGGAATGTGTTTTCCGCATGCAATGGAACATCGTGTGCAAAGGAAAGCAAACGAGATACGCTCCGCTTTTCCCCTTCCTAAGTCAGGAGGTGAAGGCTGGCCCAGAAAGGACTCAGGAAAACAAAGCAAGCAACAACTATAGCCTTATCCGGTATTGGTGTGGGTTTGCGACTGCGAGACAGAGAGAGAAAAAGAGTGTTTGGGGCTGCATCCTGTATAATCTCTCCACCCAAACTTCGCTTCAGACAGGCGTGTGGCCACACTTTCTCTCTACCAGGCATCTCTACGGAGTTTACTATTCCTTTTCTGGGAAATGTGGAGTGCAGAATCTACAAGGAAAGAATCAGATTTGGCAGGTAAAGAGCTGCTATGCTTCTTTTGAAAAATTGTTCTCCTCAAGTAAAGCAGAAATCCATTCTTTTCTTGGTGGAAAGCTTACTGGAGGTGTATCTTGGTCATAAATTCAGGGGCGGTTTTAAGGGGTTACTAATCCACTAGTCCTCAGTTACACACACAGGAAGCAAAAGCCTTCTGCCAGATAGGAGGAGAAGTAAATCAGTATAAATCAAACGCAAGAGAGCCATTTTGGCTAAAGGGCGGGATAGAAATCTAATAAATAAATAAATAGGATTGGTTGTGCACACTCTTTTCGGATATTAGAACAAATGTATTTCTGTAGGATAATTGTTCAAGGAAAAATGCAGGGCTTGGAATTTTTCTTTTTTTCTGGTGGAGGAAATAGTCATATGGTTTGAATGCACCCAAAATCTGTGTTTTAATTTAACCGCCTCCCTTTGATTTCTGAAGATCCTCTTTTCTGGTACGAAAAGCTAGATTTGGGAACACAGGAAGCAGCTGGTGGTTTGCGGTAGAGAGACTTGAGAAAAAATACAGTAGCAACGGAGATAGACAGGAAAGCCACCTGAAATGCCATGTGAAAATTGTGAGCGATCATGACAGGCAGAGAAGATGGGAGGACAAACCTCCCACCCCATGGACCACATCTAGTTCTGTGGGAACCCCAGAAGGTCGTCTCTCCCTTCCCGGGGCTCTTTCCCCACAGAAGCATATTCTGGAATTCAGAGCTTTGAGCTCAAGGAAGGAGGTATTTTGGCTTCGCCCCATTCAGGCTGGAACCGCCACCAGCGTGACTGGCTATGCAGAAGGGGAGAGAAGGGAGGAAGGCCAGATAGCAGAGAGGGACCCCACAGAGTAGTTGGGGTACCTTCCCAGCAGTTCCCAGAGTGGGCTTGAGGGAGGGCAGATGCAAGACCGTATCCCCAAAGGGGAAGCCTTTAGTTTAAACAGAAGCCGGAGTCTGATACAGTCTTGGAAACAGGATCGCCTCCCCAGCCCTTCCAAATAACACCAGTGGCTCCCCAAGGACTAAACGACCTGTTATGTTGAATCTGTGGCATGCAATTCATCCTCACCATTTTGGTTTGCGGGGAGCTGATCTGGGTTTGGGTCACCATGTGCGGGGGGGGGGGGGGGGGCGGGCTGCCTCCATTGCAGCAAAATTCACTGCACAGAAATGCCTCCCCAACTCTAAACCTTCTTGCCCGACCCCAACAACAGACACAAACTGAATACTGATCCCAGTGCCTCAATTATGAGGTGAAAAAAGCACAGAAGAAAACCCCAGTGAAATCCAGCAATCCCAAAAGGAATGTTGCTAGATCAGATCAGTAAACTCTCATCCCGATCCTCTAGAAATCTTATGCAGCTGTCTGATCAAGCAGGGGCCATCTCTGTCCTTGCAAACAATTCTGCATGCCTCATAAGGACTAGAAACTTAATTTTTAAAAACAAACATGGAAGCAAAGACTTTTCAGGGAGTTGAATTCTGCACACAAGCTACACTCCTGGCTGTGATCCCATAACAGAGATATCCCTAGTTGCCTGCTTATTATCTAGAGAGTTACCCCAGACTCAACACCCCCTTTGGAAACTGGAGTGTAGGAAGCTTAAAAAGTGATGACCGGAGACAAGTCTGCTTCTGGCTGAAGGTAAGTCTCCAAGTCCTGTGAGGGAATTATTTGCTTTTATTATGCAAAAAAGATGGAGCAGAGGAGACCAAATCCCTGGGGAATTTTTATGGCCCACCTGTTCAAACAAGCCAGGCAAACCCCTCCCTGCTCTCTGGGAAAATTCTTTCCCTACCCCAAACACTGCAGTACAGCTGAAAACCTTTCTCCCCACACTCCTGGGCGCCTGGCTTTGCTGAAACAACTTTTCCCACCGTTGCTAAAGATCAGCCACCACAGCCCCTCTCAATGGAAGCCAAGCCCTGCCTTTCCCAGCATGCCCCAACCAGCTGGCTGGGGCATGCTGGGAAAGGCAGGGCTTGTTTTATTTAAGCATGCATCAGATGGTTCCGCAAGTGCAAACGCTTCACTCCGCCACTTTTGTTCTCCCTGTCTTTCCACCCCGCCTGTGCGACATCCGTCTATTTTCTACCACGTACAAAGCCGCCCATTCTTCCTCTGCCCGTAAACGAAGAGCTTTTTCCTCTGGAGGAACATTCCAGCCCTCGCTCTGCCTGCAAGAAAAGGGACCGGGGAACCCGAACTTCGGGAGGGCGAGCAGACCAGCAAACCCCGGGGAACCCCGACCGTCTCCCCCAGCGAGCGAGGCCTCTGGCGCAATGGGGTCGGTGCGCTTTTGAGCACAAGGGCGCATGAGGCTGATGCGGCTGCCACTTTCTTTTGCACAGGAGCCAAAGGAGGCGAGCACATGAGCGGGGACCCCTCTGAGCTGGAGTGGGCCATCCAGACGCTGGTGAAAAACTACGACAAGTACGCCGGCAAAGGCTGCTGCTGCAGGAGACGGCGGGGGATTAGCAAGAAAGATTTCCGCAAGATGCTGAGCCACGAACTCAATCACATGCTGACGGTGAGGCAAGGAGTGGGGGACGGCGGGGCGTGCTGGGCGCCCCCATATCCGGGATAAAACCGTGGGTCTTGTCTACGCCGGGTACAGAACTCGGGGTCCTCTTGACACTGCCAAGCCCTAACTTCAGTCAGCTTTGGGGTCAGTGGTTAAGGATGATGGGAAGTGGAGTGGGACCATCTCCAGAGGACCGCTAGCTCGGTACTTCGGTCTACCCTGACAAAGGTTCTGGAAGAGTCTAGAAAGGCGTCTTTCCCCCACTTTACCAGGAGGAAAGAGATTGGGGACTTGTGTACGTCAAGCACTCTGTGCAGATGGAAGTCAAAGGCAAGGCAAACCATCTGGCTTTAGAAACCACAGTAAGAATCCACCTCCTTTCCATTTTGTCTGAACAACAACCCTGCGAGGTAGGGTAGGGCGAGAGTCAGTGACTGGCCCTGAGCCTCCCAGCAAGCTTCATGGCCGCGTGGGGGCTAGAATCTGGATCTCCTGAGTCCTACTCTAACCACTAGGCTACACCGGAGAATTACTGCACACTTCAGCTAGGAGGCAAAATAACACGCAGACCCACTGCATGTTAAAAACTAAAAAACTGCATCTCTCACTTTTGCACGCAAGCGTCTATCACACATAAAGGCACTTTGGGGGTGAAAAGAAGAGGGAGCGTTATTTATTGTACTTATTTATTTAGAGCGTTTGTAGATTGTCCCATTACCGAAGGCTTGGGGCGGTTTAACAATATTTCAATATTGTTAAATATAACAATATTTCAATATTGTTAAATATAACAATATTCCTTTTGTGTAAGCCGTCCTGAGGCTTTTGCGACAGGACAGCATATAAATATCTTAAATAAATAAATAAAATGAATAAATAAACTCAAGGGAAGAAGCACAGAAAAAGAGGTGGACTTTCAGTTGGAAGGCTTCCGATCTGACTTTTGGTTCCAGACTCACCCACCTGCTTTTCCCACCCGCAGGACACCAAAAACAAACACGCTGCTGACAAACTGATCTGTGATCTAGACGAGAATCGAGACGGCCAGATCAGTTTCGATGAATACTGGAACCTGATTGGGGGCATCGCCAGTCCCATCTCATGCCTGATCCGGCAGCAGGAGGAAAGCGTGAAGTTCACCAAGTAGATTGTGCCCGGCACACGTAGCGACGACAATCAAGGCCACGGTGCTCCACAGCCCCCTTTCCCCTTGCCATCATGCCGACCTGGACCATGCCCGACATATGCCATCAGCATATCAATGCAAAACTGGAATTCACTGCAAAAGCCAACGTTTCCCTTTCAGCAGCTGCACTTGGTCATGTGCCATAGAGTGCAGCAACTGCCTGAAAAGCCTCATAATAAAGTCTGGAGTTGGATCAAAGCCCCGTAAAGGTCTCTCCCTCTGTTGGTAACCTTTCTTGAACAAGCTTCTAGCCCTCATTGAGTCAAGGAGGCAAAGAAAGCCTTTCTGGATCAGAACAATGGTTCTTGTAGTTGTCACCCGCTGTTCTATTCTTAAAATATCCCTCAAGTAAAAAATATTGCTCTTTGTTTGTAATATCCGGCCAGCAAAGAGAGCCTGCTTCACCTGTCTCAAACTTGGGCAGTGGTAGCTGGATCGGGCAGGTGCCGGCCCAGCCGTGTCTGGAGATGCCAGGGGTCCGAGCAGGGAGAGCTTCATGGCACGGTGAGTGACAGAACCAGACAACAATGGCTCCCAATCCTGTACTTCACCTGTGCATGGAGAATTCGGTGCGGTGCCATGCTGTGGGGAAGGGAAGAGGAAAGGGTGGGTGGGTTATCTGTTTATTTATCTATTTATTGATTGCATTTGTAGGCCAGTCCATAGCCCTTTGGCTCCCTGGCTGGCTCACATCACAAACCTAACACGGCATCAGGGTGCAGAAAGAGGCATTCTGCAAAGAGGCCAAACGCGGCCCCAGGGTGAAACACAGAAACAGAGCGAGTCAGAAGGGGCCTCCCAGGGCCATCTAGTCTGACCCCCGGCCCCAGCCGGCTCCACTCACGACACGCCCACCATGTGCACGTCCAGCCTATCTTTGAACACATCTTTGAGTGGAGGGCCGGCATGGCGTGAAAAAGAGAAGCGCTTGAGTGAAACCTGAGAACAGGATATGGGACGACACCAGAAACGCGATTCAGGTCCCATCGTGTTACAATCCACTTATATCAAGGTAATTATGAGCAGGTGAAGGTGAAGATAAAAGTGGTGGTTCATGATAGATAAATTTCATCTCCCACATTCATGTCGCCTCAGTGCGGAGAAGCACGAAGAAAATGATTCTGCCTGCAGAATCACGACCCACACAAGAGACAGGGCTGCAAAGAACAGACCCTCAAAAAAGTCGAACTTACCTATTTATTTATTTTTGTATTAGATTTCTATCCTGCCCTATGGCGCCTGCTTTGACATGTAGACTCATGGACTGGGTTGAGACAAGCTCACAATCCATACTCAATGAGCTTGCTCAATAAGCTAGAACTGTGTGTTGTCAGAATGTGGGTGGTTGTGTTGTCTGTTGTAGGGGCGATTTTACAGACGAGACCAGAGACCGATTGGAATTATCGAGAGATTTATTTACCTGCCGGCAGCGACCACGCACTCGTTAGAGTGCGGTGTTGAGCAGATCGAAGGCAGGATTTTTATACTCTTTTACACGGACGGCTATGCAGGTGCTTGAACAACAGCGAACAATAGGGGAAATCCACTGAGCTACACTCACACACAATTTTTTTATGCTAAAGCAAGCAAGCAGGAGTACAGGGTGTGACGTTATGCTGGAGTGTAGCCACAAAGGCTGCTTTGTGGTCAGCCTTGCCTTGTTGCGGTTTTTGTTCTTACGCGAACAAGACACTCTGATCATGCTCCTTACCTGTGACGAGCCATGCCCTAGCTGCATGTTCGATGAAGAGGGGGGTTACAACATTGTCTGGACACAGCTGCCCTAACACGCCACGGTTTGTCTCAGCTGGGTTGAGACAACACTAGAACCCAGAATTCAATGGCAGCCCATAGTGGACTCACAGTCAACCTCCAGCGGTGGGTTGTCCGAACGCAGCCACTGCTGCCGCTTTCAAGGGGATGTGCAGAAATGCAGTTTGCAGGCAAAAATAACACCGAAAGCCTTCTGCAACGGGATCCATGTTGATCCTGGAGAGGCAACATGGTGTTGGAGAGCCAGTGTGGTGCGAAGATCCGTGCGGGACTGAAGACCTGGGGGATCCCGGTTTGAGTCCCCCTCTTGGCTATATGAAGCTGGCGGGGCGACTTTGGGCCAGTCGCTTGCCTACCTCACAGGGCTATCAGGAAGAAAAAATGGAGTGCAGGACCCTGCATGCTGCCTTCAGTTTTGGGCAGGAGGAGGAGCCGATCGGTGGCTGCCAGCCTCGCCGCCAGGTGCCACCTCTGTTCTCAGAGCCAGGTGCTGCCGGGCGGGCAAAGATCTCGCTCCCATCCTGCTGCAGCATCCCGTGGGCAGCTGGTTCGTGGCCAGAGCGCCGGACTAGATGGAACTGGGCCCTGATCCAGCAGAGCTTTTCTTATGCTCTTATCTAAAAAAAGCGCATTTATAAATCTAATATAATAATGGACGTATTCGATAGCCATCTTTCGGAGAAAGAGAGAGACCGCATATGCATGGAAGGAAGATTAACGAGGGAGCAATCTAAAAATGTGTTCAGCACTCAGCTTTCTGACTTCAGCTGCAGGGTTCATCAGACACCAGGAGGGAGCGAGTCTCGGTGTCCTTGGCACTAAAACACCAGGCTGCTCCGATGCTTAGTTGCGATGGCGGCGCCCTGGCGGCACAGGGGCAGCGGCCGGGCTCCGGCACTGAGCGAGAGCGGCCGCCAGGGGGCAGCACGAGGCAGCGGCTGCAGCGAGGCGCCCGGCGGGCACACGCCCTTCCCGAAATGGCTCCTGCAGGCGCAGCCTCGCAAAATGAGCGCCGGCGGGGCCCGGGCGGCGCCTCCCTCCCGCCCAGTGGCCGGCCGGCCCCCCAACCTTCCTGCAGGCGGGACTGCACCCCGGGACGAAGCGGCGCGGAAGCGCTCTGCACATGCGCGCGTTCCTTCGCGTCCCCGTGCAAGGAGCCCGCCCCCCCCCCCGCGCGCTGGGAGCGGCGCGGTGAGTCACCCGCGGGACATCCTGCCCTTCCCGCCCGGTGAGTCACCGGCTGCAAGGCTCTCCGCCCCCGCGGAAGCCAGGGGCACGGCGAGCGCCCCGTGCACGGGGAGTGCCCCTTGCACAGCGAGTGCCCCTTGCACGGGGAGCGCCCCTCTGCGGGGCCAGCGCCCTGGGGTTGCAGCCCAGAAGTTGCCCCGGCTCCTTGGGCTCGTTGCTTGCTTGCCCCTTCTTTCTGTCTATCCATGCATGTATTTATAGGCCGCTTATAACTGCCCAGGCCTTCCTAGGCAGCTTACAATTCACAAAACATACTAACGAGATAAAACACGTTGTTGTTGTTAGCAAAGTCGTGCCCGACCCATCGTGACCCCATGGACAACACTCCTCCAGGCCTTCCTGTCTGTTGGACTTGACCCAACTGGCTTGGGAAAAAAATAACACATACAATGCAGTAGACATGTTTGGGGGCACATTCATATGATAGCGTTACCAAGAATGCCCCCTTTCACTCCACTTAGGCTAAACCAAGGAAGACCACTTGGCCAGAGAGCCGCAGTCATGTTGTATATCCTGTCCAGCAGGGAGGAGGGGGGAACGGAGAGTTGTGAACCCTGTGTGAACTCCTGTGACAGACCAACTGGATGTCCAAGAGGGCAAGTGGGGAGAACCCTTGGTGCCTGGGACCGGTTGGGGTCTCAATAAAAATAGCCAAATGGAAGGGTTATCAGTTACTTCATGCATACAGAGTGTTACTTTATCAAATAGACAAGTTTCATCAAAGGGGTAATAACTTAAAAGGATAGACCAGCTGCAGAGCATCTCCACTGTTATCAAAACATAGACAAACTGCAAGGCCGCGCCACTTTTTTGTATCAGAGCTACAAATCGTCTCGCTTCTGTAAATCATGCTAGCTTGCTTTATGCTGCCAAGTAACGATTTTCCTTTTTTTTTGTGTAACAAGGTATAAATACTCCGTGGTCCCTCTAAAACGCACGGCACTCATCCCATCCTTGTGAGAGAGTGTCGTCCCTATAGGAAATAAACCTTCTCTTGAAAATACCAACTGGTCTCTAATCTCATCTGTAAAACCGTGGGACATAACACTGTCCTCCATCATCCCCCGGAGTCCACCTAAGCTCACACCAACTGCCCCAGTGACCCCATCCAGCCACCTCATCCTCTGCCATCCCCTTCTTCCTTTGCCCTCAATCCTTCCCAGCATCAGGCTCTTCTCCAGGGAGTCCTTCCTTCTCATGAGGTGGCCAAAGTATTTGAGTTTCATCTTCAGTATCTGGCCTTCTAAAGAGCAGTCAGGGTTGATCTCTAGGACTGACCGGTTTGATCGCCTAGCAGTCCAAGGACCACAGGAGTCTCCTCCAGCACCACAATTCAAAGGCCTCAATCCTTTGGCGCTCAGCCTTCCTTATGGTCCAGCTTTCACAGCCATACATCGCAACTGGGAAAACCATAGCCTTGACTATACGCACTTTTGTTGGCAGGGTGATAAAAGCAATTAAAACACAACAAACTTTGTTGTGGCCTTCATGGCCCTTTCCAGCTCTTCAATTCTATGATTCGCTCACATGCCAAAATTGGAATCCATCCTGATATTTGTCCATGCACAAGTTCTGTTCGCTTGTGTTTATTCAAGTCATTTTATAAGCACATTTTGAAAACCCACAAACATGTTTCCTCCAGGCTCTCGAAAGATCTTCGGATATTAAGTTGGGTGGAAACATACCAAGACAGAGAAACTGGGCATTGCTATTCCACAAAAAGCACTTCTAAGCAAGAACGGTTTGTTCCCGCTCTGGAATGGATAAGAGAGGGACCGGCTTGGTGCCCTCACCCCGGCCACACACCAAACACCCCGTGACCCCTTTGGGGACCGATGCACACAGTCGGGAATGTGAGAAAATATTCCGGGCACCAGCACAAAAGGGCATGATAGATCCGGCTCATCAAGAAATCTGTTCGGAGTTTCTGAACCCAAAAAGGATTTTTTTTGTCCTCCGGCCAAGCTGGTGCCAGCGCTGCTTCCTAGCTGGCTGCCAGGCCAGAAGCAATATTTATATTGCGATTTATATCCTGCCTTTTTCCTACAAAGGGCTCAAGGCAGCTTACATCATTCTCCTCCTCCATCTTATCCCCACAACAACAACCCTGTGAGGTAGGCTGGGCTGAGAGGCTGTGACTGGCCCAAAGCCACCCAGTTGGCTCCATGGCTGAACGG